AGAGAAAGACAGAGAGAGAGACACAGAGAGACAGAGAGATGTAACTTAGTTGGGTCCACTCTGCTTCCTCTGAGGATGCAGGTGGAAGTGACAGCAGTTAATTGCAAGACTGATTCTCCACCCTCATTGGTTGCTCAACCCCCTACATCAGATGGGAATTGAAGAAGTCTCAGGAGTGTGTGTTATTTGTGTCAGTGAGCCCTACTTTTAGAGCCAAACAACACTGTATTTGTTTCCTGGCTCTGACATTTGTTAGGTGAGTGATCAAAGACATTACACCCTCCCTTTCAGACTGATTGTGTTTGTAAACCTTCTTTTTGAATATTAATACTGATATTACAAACATGCAGTCTAAGATGCCCGAGTTATTGAAGTTGTTCTAGAATGATAATTGCAGTCATCATGTAACTCATTTTGCTTAGCCATCTTTTACTTCCCTGAAAGGCGTGAATTATGTAGAGAACTTGGTATTGGATCGTGTTTCCAACAGACATTGATTAAAGTTTTGTGATCTATCCTGCCGCTAAGACTTGATAAAAACCCACTCAAGATTAAAAAGCCTGTTTTGTGCGATGTGTCCAGTGATCCAAATTCATTATTTCTAAGAACTGGGTGGAGATGGTTCACCACTTCAACTCAATTCACAGTCATTTTGCACCAAGCTTATATCTAGGGACTCAGGGTTTATGTTTCTACATTGATAGCATAGTGTTTCTTTACTGTTGAAGTAAGCATTTTTTCAGGTGAGTTTTTTAATCCACATTAAATATTAGGATATAAATGTATAGGTGTTAGTTGAGCTTTGAAGGTGGCCTTCTAAGTTTTTGGTATGTTTCTAACTTCTTTGAAATGTGGAATTCCCCCCCCACACACACAAAAAAATTTACTACTAGGCCAAGTATAAACATTGAAAGGCACACACTGGTGTTGTGAATTTTTGAGACAGAATTTCAATAAATATGCATGGCTACAGCTGGATTTCTTAAGTAGCTGGGTTTTTCTCTTTTTTGAAGAGTGAGGGAAATATTTACCCTCTGGTTCAATAAAATACTTGCAGTGTAGAGGCAAAGCATCATATTTTTAAGTGTTGGCTTTAAGGGAAGGATTGGTCAGACAACAGCAAACTTGAAGATGAGTTCAGGTACTTGGGGCTAAACTTCCAGATCTCCATGTTAGGATTTGGTTAACCCAAATCTATGACAGAACCAAAGAAGAAATGAGTCAGAACACACAGCACCTCTTCCACGTGCCAACCTTGTGCATACCTCCCTTCCTCTCATCTTTTCCCTATCACAAAAAGATTTTAATCATCCCAGGACCCTTTTCTTGTCATTGTCTTTTGAGAAACGGTGTGCGAGCATCCTGTGGCTTTCCATTTGCTGTCCCCATAGCCTGGGTATTACAACAGATGCTGAGAAGACCATGTTCATTAAGCTGCTTATTACCTGCTTGAATAACATACATATTGTCTAGCAGTGTTCTGGGTCCAGTTCTGACTGTAATTTTAATAACCAACAAGCCTGGATTTCTGGCTGCCAGTTCTTAATAATTGCACAGTATGGAGTGGTCTGTCCATAATTTGTCTCTGAGATTTGGCAAGTCAAGCAAGAGAATCAGAAGGCAGGGGGCATAATTGAGGCTTATTCTTCCTGTCTTCTGATGGATTTGTACTGCTGGTACTGCTGGGGTTTTGTGACTTTGCCACAGGAGTTAATGGACTCTTCATGTGTAAAAATAACTCATTTTTAATGGTTAATGTTTCTTCTTGTTCCTGAGGCCTGGAGCACCTATGTTGTGCTGCTATTCAAAGGGTTGGCACTAGTGTGGCTTTTAGTTACCTCTGTCAAGAACAGCTGGTCCAGTATTAACCACTGTGACCTGTGAGCCTTTGTTAAACGCATTCAGAGGCTGGCTCTTTCTTCATCTGATATGGGAGGTACATTTTGCAGGCACTCCTTTCTTTTAAGGTCAACGTTTCAACCAAACCCAGACTTCCAGAATCATACTTTCTGTGAACATGAACAGGGAGTGAACATTTGGGAGCAGTAAGCAGTTGGATGATAGCTGGAGGTTAATGGGATTTTGACAAAGCTATCTAAAACCTTTTTCAAAATACAAAAATTGAATTGGTGTGTGTGTGTGTGCGTGTGTGTGCATGTGTGTATGTGTGCATATAACAACACACCATACACACTCACATACACACACAGAATCATCTCTGGCAGTGAACATACATTTAAGGTTCTGGTTTATGTGTGTGTCTTTAACCTAGTCTGGCAGTTTTAGTTACTTAGAGCATTACAGTGTGTATACATTTTAATGTAATTGCTTAAATATTTGGGTTCAGATCTACCATCTTCACCTTCAGACTAGCTGGGATCAGGAATTCAAGGTCATCTTTATCTATATAGAGAGTTTGAGGCCAGCTTGGAATATCCTGTCTCAAAAAAATCATAATAAAAAGAATTTTAATACTATATGCATGATGCCCCCACCCCTGCAAAGCATGATAGGTAGGTTCGTCCACAGGCAGGATTCGTGTGGATCTACCGTGTGGATCTACCTGGATATTCCTCTTTGCTTCCCTTTCTTACCTTCTGCAGCCTCGGCTTCTACCTGGATCATTTTCTTTTGCCTGAAGAATACTCAGTTTGGGTGTCCAGCAATCAACTCTTTCCTTATCTGGAATATGAGCCACTGAATAAGCAAATAAGTAACAAATAACGAAATCCTATTATTTCACCGTAGTTTGAAGGATAGCTAGCTATAAATCAGAAATTTAGCTTACACTTCTTTTCTTTCACTCTTGCGTTTATGTTTCCCCGGCTGGAGCAGGAAAGAAGATGATGCAACTTTATTTTTAAATCTATATTATGTAACAGTTTATGAACATGATATTATGCCAGGCACTTTGGGCAATGCAGATGAGCGAGGCAGAGCCAGTGCGTCAGGAAGCATACAGCTGAATAGCAGTAACGTTCGCAGACTTATATGATGTAAGAGAGTGAGTCAGGAGGTCGGGAGGAAGAATGTGTTGGATGCCCAAGGAACCAGCCTTTAAGGCTCCAATGCATGTGAAGGAAAGTTCCTGTCCTGGGGGTATAATCGCTTTGGGGGCCCTGGGTAAACCACCATGCCTCTGTGCCTCAGTTTCTTTGTGCAGAACATGAACGATGTGCGTGCGAAAGGAAGGTAGTTTTACCATCAGCAAGCGGACCATGCTTGTTTATTATTAGTTATAATGACTTCCCGGCTGTAGCGGCAAGAGAAATGGAGGAATGTTCCCAACTAGCTCCAACACACGCATAATGAACCTTTTAAATCCTGAGCACCAGGGGCCACATAATTTTGGGCCGGGAGATTCACTCGATTTCCAGACGGCTGGAAGTGGATCGGTCAGGGTGGAGGTACTACTGGAGTTCAGTGCCCAAGAACTGGAAGGCCCAGCTAACTGTAAATATTTATTCCTTCCTGCCTGAGCAAGCGTTCCTAGGCTGTCTGGAATGTTTCCCTAGCAAGGAAACAAAGGTATGTGTGAAGATAGAGCCTCGCTGGCTCCCAAGAAGAGAAACACTGGCTAGTTGAACTTCTAGGTTTCTTAGTTTGCTTTCTCTTCCTGTCTTCTCTTCTGTTTTATTTGAGACAGGGTCTCACTATGTAGCCCCAGCTGGCCTGGAACTCTGTATGTAGACCAGGCTGGACTCAGTCTCACAGAGATCTGCCTGCTTCTGCCGTCTAAGTGCTGGGATTAAATATATACACCACCGTGCCTGGCTGTTGTCCTCACTTTGTTTTAGGGCCTTTGTGAATGCTTATAGGCTAAGTCAGTACAATTGCATTTTTCTATTCTTTCCTTTACACACGTACTCTCTCCACCTTTCCTGGGATGGAGTGGGGCAGTTTCTTCTTCAAAAACCCTGTGTGAAACCTGTCCATTCAAATGGGAATTCAAGGCCATACAATTCACACCTGAAATGGTCATCAGACTCAACCAAGGAACTGACTCATGAAACTATTGGATGCATAAGGTGAAAATGCCAGAGTGGTGCTTGATGTCCGGATTCTGGAACAATCTGATTTGAGTGCTAATACCCTTTTATTGTTTCATCTTGAAGCAGGGAGGAAAAAGGAAATTTCAAACACTTAAAAAATGATAATTGGTAGTGTATGCTTATGATCTTAGCACTTAGGAGACTGGGGCAGGAAGGTTGCAAGTTTGAGGCCAGGCTAGGCTAACACAGCAAGACTCTAAAAAAAGAAGGAAAGAACTGCTACAATTATAAATAGTCCAAAGTGTGGTGTGAGCTGTTCACTTTGACCAGAGAGTTATAAATGGAAAAGGACTAGTGTTGGCCAGGCAGGGCAGATGGTTTCCCTCTGTTTTCCCTGTATCCTCTTTACCATAGGTCAGCTGCACTGTGATCTAACAGCTGATGGGGGCTGGAGAGATGGCTCCACTGTACTTTCAGAGAACCTGGGATCGGTTCCCATCACTCACATG